ATGAGGGAATATCAAGGATGAGTCCCCAACCCTCTCTCTCTCTCTCTCTCAATAGTGTAAGCTTTAGAACCAGAGTGAGATACATTACCAGCTAAAAAAACTTACCTCAAAAGAATTGGATAGTTTTTCGAGCAATACATGATAACTGGTCAACAATTACAAATTACGAATTGGAGGGTGATATTGTTTTCTCAGCAAGATAATGCTCGAGCATGTCATCCTCATCCACTGCAAACACAAAAACTGGTTTTTAATTTTAGTTAGAAGAAAAATATATAGGATGATTAGTATTATATTCATGATAATGATGATTACCCAAAACACACAAAGAAGACTATTATTAGGCTAAAGGGTCAAATAGGCCCTTGAACTAACTTAAAGTGTTCAATTAGCCCCTTATATAGAAGGTTCAGCCCGTCCATCGCCAATTGGAGAGGTTCCCGGTGGATTTTTTGATGAAATTTTTTGAGCATCTTCTTCATTAAGTCTAGTTTACCCATATCAAATTTCATTAAAAAATTAAACCGAGAAGGCAGTCAAATGATTTTCCGAAATGTACTGCGCTGTTTAACTACGCAGTTATCTTCAAAAAATCATTTGATTGCCCTCCCGGTTGAATTTTTAGCTGAAATTTGGTATGAGTAAACTAGACTGAATGAAGAAGATGCTCAAAAAATTTCATCAAAAAATTCGACCGGGAACCACTTCAATTGACGACGACCGGGCAGAACCTCCTACACAAGGGGCTAATTGAACACTTTAAGTTAGTTCAAGGGCCTATTTGACCCTTTAGCCCTATTATTATTACTACTCCATAGTAGTCTTACCGCTGACCATTACCGTTGACAATTGACATTACTACCCATACGCTACCACTGCTATCATTATTCATTATTATAATAATATAACTATTACTTTTTTTATATTTAATTTGGCTTGATCATCGAGATAATTATTACTCGTATATTATTATATAATTAGTGTTGTTGCTAATGTTATATTATTATTATTCTTATTGTTATTATTATTATTAACTCCGAAGTGAGTAGGTGAAGCTGGAAGTGACCTTCAAAGTCTTCATCATCAAAATCAATATCCTCTTCGCCTTCATCAGACTCTTCAGCAGTGACAGCCGTTGCGCCCTTCTGTACAGAACAAACAACAAAATAGATTTAGGTAAAAAAAGAAAAGCATAGAGGTTTTCCCTGGTGTATTATTTTCATTATGACTTTGAAAGGGAACACATATAAGGTCCCTTGGTATATAGTATATAGGGTCACATTGGAACCCTGAAGATGCTAGGGAAAGGATAAAAAGGAAACTAGAGCTAATGTTTGAATTTTGAAAGGAAATAAAATGTAGGGGAAAATATAAAAAAGGTTCACTCATATAAATTTAGATATTCGCCCGAACTTATGATTCATTTAAATACTTATAGTATAAGAAATATGAATATTTTGTGAATTTTTGAAATTTTTTAATTAAATTTGAATTTCTTTCATATTTTCAATGTAAAATGGAACGTAAAAAATAAAAATAAAAAACTATTTTCCTAAGCATTTTATCCTTTTCCATACAATCTTCTGCGTTACAAATATAGCAATTACGAATTTATTTATCTCCATAAGAAAAGAGTCAGTCGGTCAATGAGATTTGGATCAAATAGCATTGGAAAATAGTGCTCAAGATCCAATGAATCTTGATGAAATAAATGCATAGGCCCAACTCCTGCGGGCCAGGACTAATATAGTATGCTAGACGCGTGCATTGGAAGGAAGATAGTAAAAAAGTACTGAAAGATATACCGCAGATGCTCTTTGGGTGCTGAAAGTGCTGAATCTGGCATTAAGCTGTATATTTTTTTTATTTATCATGACTTCCACAATCGTCACTCACACACACAAGCAAACGTGAATGCAAGCAACTTTTACATCCATGCATATGAACAAAAGGGTTAGCTTTATATGTTCTTCGCTTCAGTATTATAGTCTTGTTACAAATTACAATATAATGCATGCTACTTTCATGATGGCCATCTTGATAGGAACAAATTAGAAGCTTAAGATTGAAATCCAATAAACTACGAAATAATAAACGATTAGTGTACTCTATGGCAAAATATTTATTGCCCTCCTATTCACCTTGTTCTTTACAACTTTAATGGAAACTTCATCCTCTGACAAATATTTGTGTACCATCATCATAATGTACTAGGAGTAATTGCTAACTGCATTTGAAGCGAGTTTTTAAAACTGTATGATAAGGACCAGTGATGACTCATAGGGGTCCATAACATACATATGAATTTTCTTGATTTGGTTGCAAGGCTTATGAGTGAGCCACACAAGCATTTTCTATTTACTTGGCTCTTTCGAGGGCCTGTTCTGCCTCAAATCTTTCCCTCCATGCCAAGAATATTTCAATGGTCATTGGTTCTCCATGAGGCACAATCATCTGAAATAAAAATAGAGCCACATTCAATTTGAATGGATCTAAATATAGGTGAACTGAATGACAGATGATATTGGCATGCATGTGAGGACATGAAGAAAAACATGTAAAATCACTTGAATAAAAAAAAACCTATTGGAGAAAGAGTTCAAAAGTACATACACTATTATAGTATTTTAGTGCTAATCATTTGCACTAGGTACTTCTATGAGATACTTTGCCCCTCCCAAGTCCCAAATAAGGGGTCATGTTTGGTCAAGGTTTGAAATAAATTCATCATAGTGAATTTCGTTTTTTTGAGGGAAGGGAGTACATGAAACATTAACTCTGTTTAACCATATAATGACAGTTTTTGGGGACATAAAAATCGAATCAGGAACTTGGAGAGGATGTAGGACTATATACAAATAATTACCCCTATATGGCTAAATATAAGTATATCCATAGATAAGAACACTGTTTTCATTCTCCAATTAAGACTCATTCTGTCATACATAAATAGCACTAGAAAATACTCCCTAGGTGACACGCTTATTAAGAAGATGGTTAAAAAGTAAAAGAGGGGGTGTAGGTTTGAGTAGAATCGAGTGAAATGATGAGAACCATTTATTTATTTATTTTCTAAGGAAAGAGTAAGATTATTTGGAAGTTGGGACAGACCAAAAAGGAAAACAGGAAGTCTAATTTGGGAGAAGAGTCACAGAGAGTAGAACTTTTTTACACTAATATGCCCTACCCAATTAATTAAAAACCTACCTCTCTCATGTAAATTTCCGTGCAATTTTAGTATAATACTATCTTTCTCCCCCACCCAGGCCCCACAAAATTCCAGCCATGGTTACCATACTCCGTAACTCATTTACTATCTTTCTCACTCTAACCCCACATCCCACTTATTTAAGGTGACGGCTTCATCCTCTACTAGTGCACAAAACACTTTACAAAGTAATAAATCAACCCATGCAATCAAAAAATTAAAAGAAAACAATTGAGTTACGTAGAACTGTTAATCAACACCCTTCACAATATTTTCTGGTATGGTTCATCTCTTTCTTTGCAAGCTTTCTGCCATGGCTTCCTAACCCCTCTAGTCCTCTAGGCCTCGATGTTTTTCGAGCAAATCGAGATTCAAGATCTAGATCTTCAATGGTTGATGGAGTTGGTTTTTCCTTGTTTTTACCGCAGTCCGCAGTGATAAGTAAACATAGATGGCCATTGGTCAATCATGTTTTTCTGATTTTTTTGTCCTTTTTGAAGGCAAAGGGATGGATATTGAAGATGTTAGGGTTGTGCGTCGGTGGCAGGAAGTGAGGTTAGATTGGTCTTGATGGGCAGTGATGACGTTTGTGTTTTTTGAATTGTGATGCTGGATAGTGAGGTTAAAGCCAGGTGGTGATGGGTGTGATGGACAGTGAAGATGGTAGGATTGTGGATTGGTGGAAAGTCAGGTTGGGGTTAGGTATAGGTGCGCTAATTCTCTTTAGTCATATTGAAAATGGAAAGTTTTGATAGTCATATTTATGGGAACGCTAAGCAAAATTCTCATCTAAACAGAACATGCAATTACTAATGACAATCCTATTACGTAGCCTTGACTTGAAGAAACCTTAAAGACAGAAACTCATTTTCCATTTCAATTTCGAAACCTTTAGTTAAGTCCTAAAATTGTAGTACACATGTCGGATACATGCAATCTTGATACATATATTAGATATCTTTATGCCACAGGTTGGACAGTTAAATAATATACCTCATCTTTCGCAACTTCAGCTTCTCCAGCATTTTCATCATTGGCATCCTTGGAAAATAGTTCAGATAACCACTCTTTTGCTGATGTGACCAATGTAAAGATCATTGCCATACAAAGATTCTCAGTTGCCTGTAGAATACAATCACAACAGTTTAAGCTGCATCACAAATTATGGTCCTGCAAAGTGGTAAAATGCAACAGCCAAACATTTCCAATAAATTTAGTTCATTGCACATCTAGATTTTTGTCTGCAGGTTACATGAGCCTTGTTGATGAGGTGAGATGGAAGTTTCCCTCCTCAAAATTTAGTGAACAATCCTATGTCTCAACAGCAAGATATGAGTACAGACGTTCAAGATTAAATATTTCGGCCATGCATCGCACGGGTGCAAATACTAGTAATAATGTAAACAACCCCCAAGTCCCCAACACCCAGTAGCTTCCCACCGATTCGAGGTGTCCAGATTCCAGACGACTCAACGGACCTGAACCTTCAAACGCATTTCAGTCAGGTAGGAACACAAACTACGAATTTAGGTTTTTTCGAAGACATTATCAAAATACTGCATATAATTTATTTACAATATGAATACAAATTACTAAGTATAAATTCATGGACTCATGTTCACTTGAGTGTACAAATTGAACATAAATCACTATAACTAAACTTGCTACTATAATCACATTTTTATCAATAACCTTTATTTAAGTTATAAATATGTAATTATTTCAAATAAAAATAAAAGCAGAATTTCACTTGTTTATTAGTAAATACATCAAGAGATGTTAATCAACGTGTAGAAGTGGAACTCAAATATGCACCCCGGCTTTAACGACTATGGGTATTGGGATCAGCTTTCATCCTCCACTTGTCAAAAACAGGTATATTGTGTAACACAATGTGTTGAGCCCGTTATTCAACAAATTAAATGAATAGCGGTCTGCGAGTTTTCTCTCTAGGGCATCACGCCGCTGGAGCTTTTTTCCCGTTTTCGTCGAGGACGAAGAATGGCAGTGTTTGTTTGTTTGTTTTCGTCAAGGGTTGCGGGGCTTCGTTGATCGACAAGGAGGAAGGAGATCGGTGAGAAGGAGGGTGTGATTGTCAACGAGTAGGTAGTGCCCTAAATCCCTATTACGCAGAGTGGAGTCCTGGATTGCCAGCGATTTAAAAGGCCCCACGGTAGACTAAAAATGACATGAATAGAAGGGTGTAAAAAGACATTATGGTTCCAAGAGCACACTTGATACATTTCATAGAGTAGGAACTGAAGATATTAATAGAGGACATCATAACGTTGAAAGATCATCTCAAGGGTTTATGTACCAAATCCTTTGTTGTTGGTGCTTGTATTCAGAACTTGCTTGAATGCAAGCTCCTTTAAGCTTTCATTCCACCCTTCTAGGTGCTGATCCAAATGAGCATGTGTCCTAAAACTTATCCGGAACACATTTGGTGATCCTAATATTAGTTCCAGCATCACAAGCCCAACACTCCAACATTGTAGATGCTTACAGATCAGCCACATAGATTAGAGGTGGGAGGAAGTTCATAAAATATCTTGTTCACCTCACTCTTTTTTCCTTTTTCTGTTTGGAAAGGGAAGCGAGAAGATATTATAACTTTGTGTTTCCCAAGAAGTATGTGTAATGTGTATGGAAAACAACTAAGCCACATTCACCAGTAATATGAATGAATTCAAAATATAAAATAACTTGCTAGCTTCTACATTCATAAAAAAATATACAGCAATGCTTATTTGCCGAGTTGCCGATTTCACAATTCCTTGTGGTCCCTACACATTTGGTGATCCTAATATTAGTTCCAGCATCACAAGCCCAACACTCCAACATTGTAGATGCTTACAGATCAGCCACATAGATTAGAGGTGGGAGGAAGTTCATAAAATATCTTGTTCACCTCACTCTTTTTTCCTTTTTCTGTTTGGAAAGGGAAGCGAGAAGATATTATAACTTTGTGTTTCCCAAGAAGTATGTGTAATGTGTATGGAAAACAACTAAGCCACATTCACCAGTAATATGAATGAATTCAAAATATAAAATAACTGGCTAGCTTCTACATTCATAAAAAAATATACAGTAATGCTTATTTGCCGAGTTGCCGATTTCACACTTCCTTGTGGTCCCTAAATTATCTCTTTTCATTGAAAGAATTGCATTTTTGTTTAATTTCTATGAAAAATCTCGACACATTTTCGTTTTCAAGATGTCTATGAAAAGTCATATGTGGAGATACATAGCGAACAGGAGTAACATATACCTGTGACTCTGAGAGGCTATTATATATCTCAACATACTTCATAATATACACACCAGCCACGAAGGATGTTACAGGGAAAGGGAAGATAGACCAATAAACAGTCAGAAAGAAGAAACTCAATAGTAGATGAAGTGAAATTAACATACTTCAGAATTGTACTCGTAATCAGCTTTGTTCCATTGATGGTTAAGGTAAAAATGACTGACAGAGTAATTTCTAATTTAAAAAGGGTGCCTGACAGATGACAGAAGGGCATCTTATAATCTAATTCAAACCTGAGCAAAAAAGAACTTGGATATTCTTCCAAGCATCTCCCACGATCCTTGTCTTCAAAGCAAATGACCATAAAAGAAGAAGTTCAGGAAACGAAGTTGGAGAATAATAAAACCCTTGTGGCAAGACTAGATTTCAAGTTTCAAATATATCTGGAGGCAGAAGAATTAAAATAACTGGTGCTTTAATTATATAACTGGATATACAACTTATTTTTCTATTTTCTTAAGTTTCTATTCTTTCCCGTTCCTTCCTTCTACTCTCTCCCTTTACCCGTTTCCCCTTTCTTCTTCTTCTTCTTCCCGGTTTCCCTTTTAATCTCCCCCCCCCCCAGGAAAACAATTTTTCCCTGAGTGAATTCAGAATACGTAATAACTTGCAAACTCTTATGTTCATAAAAAAATATAATGCTTATTTGCCAAGTTGCCGATTTCAGACTTCCTTTTGGTCCCTAAATTATCTTTTTATATTGAAAGAACTGTGAGGCTCACATTTTTGTTTCATTTCAATGAAAAATCTCGACACATTTTCGTTTTCAAGATTACTATGAAAAGTCATATGTGGAGATAAATAGCGAACAGGAGTAATACTTGATTAGCATCGTCAAGAGTAATGACACGGATTAGCATCAACAATTCTGGATAGTACCGAGCATGGACGGATCTAAGTTGGGGCAGGGGTGGGCTCCAGCCCAGCCCAGCCCAATTTATTTTGATTATTATAGGTATAGGTTTAATTTCCAGCCCACCTCAAAACTAATGTCTAGCCCAACCCAAGCCTACCAACTTTGTAATTCTATTTGATTATTAATTGAATTTTTTCAGTAGATAGTAAAATTGTTTTTATTTATTATTATAAATTTATAATGATTAAAGATAGAATTAAAGATTAGAAAATGATCTTCCACAAAAAAAGATTAGAAAATGATTTATTTATAATGCAATTAAAGAATAGAGAACGATGTATTTACTGTTTAGGCATGTATGAATGGATTCAAAATCTCAAGTCAATTTTAAAATTGGGAATACTTATTAGTTTTATGTACATCGACTATTTTTACTTATTAGTTTTATACTTTTATACAAGTATTTTAATTCATATCAATAAATACTAAAATCTTTAATAATCAATAATAAAATTATAAATCACACTAAAACGTTTAAATGTTAGATATGCTACCTCTGTCTCATTTTATTTAGCCATCTTTGACTCTTTACTCAAAGATGGTAAACTTTGATCCATCATTTTAACTCATGTATTAATGTGAAACTTACTAAATTTATACTTTTATGATAAACTTTTTAACAAAGAACATTTCCGTTTCATTTTCATATTATCAATTTTATTGTATAAATATATAGTCATTCAGAGTTTAACTTCTTTGACTTGAAAAGTCAAATTAGTCTTAATAAAAGTCGGAGGTAGTATATAGTTTATTTCTATAATTTATAAGTTATGAATATGCTCGAGTCCAGATCGAACTGAACATGACTATGCTCGAATTCAGCTTGAATAACTATTCAAACTCAAAAAAATAACGGCCGTTTTTTTTGTAAAAACAAACTATTTAAACTAAAATTTAGCCCGTGTTCGAGATTGAAGCTCGTTAAGCTTTGGTCATTAAATTAAATTCGAAATCACGATCGAACTCGAGTAGTTCGAACAAAAACTCAGTTCAATAACTATTAGTCCTAAGCTAAACCTTTTGTATGCAATAACAAAAAATTTTACTGTTTAGCCCACCCCACTCCTCATTCCTGGATCCGCCCCTGGTACCGAGTCTACCGACAGCAGTAGTAGGAATAATTAAGTAGTTATAATGACTATGATAATATTAATATTTCAAAGTTTTGATTAGTAAGTGAAGTTTGATCATTATTATTCTGAAGTTTAGTTTAGTAAACTTCAAGAGTTAACATGTTTCACAAGGGGTGGGGTACATTGTCAAAGCAAGATACAGTCAAATCACATTTGTAGGATGCAGTTTTTCTGCTACTTACATTGTGTTCAATCATTTCAGGTATTCACTTCTTTGAGCAAGTCAACAGTTCCTCATCTCTTTATTACAATCATCGAACAGTCGACATTTATTTGTTGAACCATAGCAAATAGGCCGCCGTATACACAAAGGATGCAAATTAACTCAAACCTTTCATGTACACTCGGTCAATCCTCCTACTCAAACATATAAATTGCATTAATTATTAAAATATAATTATACCTATTCCAAATTTCAAAAGTATCAATGATGATCTCTTAAAAAACTTTGTGATGGGTTGACTCACAGGATTCCAACGTAGCAATTGGCGTACTAATCGCGAAGACCATATATTTGGAAACCTCTACAACATGCACACTGGGTCTTCCTTTTAAAAAGGGAATAGAGAAGTTGACCAGAACCTTGTGACATCCACTAGTAGCAGCTAATTGTATTTTGGGCAGAAGAGGAAATTACCCTCTACTCACTCTATTTTCAGAGGATCTCTGTTTCTAATTAGATGCAAAAAGAACTCTTCGGAGCATCTCCATGGAGCCGGTGAAACAGAACCCTAGTAGGTTTCATGATAATGGACCCACTAATGAGTGACGTTATACTTGTAAAGCAAAATAAATGTCTTTTCATAAAAGAATGTAAAACAGGAGTGAAGAAATGCAAGAATGAAAATGTTACTAACCAATAAACAACTCTGTCCATTATTATCATCCGAGTAAACATAGAAAAAAGGAAATGCTGAACTTTATCGCTTACTGGGTTATTTGTAGCCCTAAAGTGGTGAGGCTTGGCAGAGCTCCCAGGGATCAGAATACATATTGTCATGAACGATCTCAGTCTATTAAAAAATAAATGAATGTGTGGTCATCGAAGAGTCATGATTCATGAACCAGAGAGCAACTTCTTTTACTAGTTACAAACAAAGCAATGCCATTATGGCGGCCATTGGTATGACTAATTCTCTGTAACAATCCTTCATGCTAAATGTCAACGTCTGATGCCGAGTACTGATTATTGCTTCTTCACCCTCCATTCTTGAGCAAGTATATGGTTTGGGACAAGAAATATTGGAAGAAGGCACGAACCATTTGACCTCTGCTGGTGTGGCCTTTTCACAACCGGCAAACCCATTAGCGACATAATAAGTTTGCAACCCTAATGGGGGGACCGAAGCTTTCCAGTATACACGATGTCTACAGAGAATAATGTTTCATCCTCCTTGCTGCTGTAGTGTTGTTGCATCTCTGGAGATATCTGGCTTCTCACACATGTCCAATTTGAGTCCAAGATTGTCACCTCAGGTCTGTCAACAATTACCATCACAACTTCATGTCTTGTCTGCTCTAGTGGATTAAATATCACCACAGTCTGGACTGTCCCTTCATGAGCAGACATGGCTTTGTGCACTGGCTGAGCATCGTATTTAGATCTCACTTGTGCAGCCTCAAACTGAGATGGGTTCTGTTCATTCTTTTCATGGCGAATCCCAAGCAACACCTCTACGGCCTTTGACATGAAAATTTGAAGATCTTGCAAAGCTATGTGCATTCTCACCCCATAATCATTAACTACGTGGTCCTTAGCTGTACCAGTAACCCCATCATGACGTTGGAACAGCGCTAGGTTCCTCCTAGCCGCTGCTAACTTATAGGAAAATCCGGTAAGTAACCGCTCACATTGTGGTTTCTGACAATGACCTAATAGGAAAGCCATCATCATATCAGCACCGCGGAGGGTTTGCTCCAACACACGATCAACAGCCTTGAAGAAAGGCCGAGAAACATAATAACCACTCCAGTAATCTTGCTGTCTGTCAGCATATGTGAAGAAATCGCCTGAAAGAGAAGGAAACCCACCAATCTCAATAGAACCAATCTCATTTGGACGGGAGTAATTTACCCTATCAGCCTCTTCACGAAGAGTCCGGAAATAATCTTCCAAGGTACCAAATTTTGCTTCTGCAATCAAGTCCGGATCAGAATTGATATAATCAAGCAGAAGCTGATAATTCCTGAACTGAGCTTCAGCCTCATCAACAGTGACATAGCAGAAATCATCTCCGAGGGGAATAAGAAGAGTATTTGTGCGATATAGTGTTGATTTCTTTCTGTATTGATCCAGCAGCTTTAGTGCTCTTTCTTTAACATTTTCTGGTGTGGTCTCCTGTGGATATTCTCCCCAAGGGCAGCGCTCATACGTAAAGCCATAGGTTCTAGCAAAGTCAAATTGAAAGCATATTGCAGGCTCAGGCCCACAAGTATGTGGAATATCATATGAATAAAAGGGCATCATATGAGCAAACATGTCAGTTGTTTCTTCAGCATCCCAGCTCTGCCGCCATACGAATTCTAAATTTCTATACAAAGCCAGTTCCTTCTTCAATTCATAATGTGTCCTCTGTATGAGCATATTCTCGAAACCCATACGACGAAAAAGGTATGCCATTGTTGGAGAGTATCCGAAAAGATCAATCACCCACGAATTTTTTGGAACAACACCGCAAGTTTCATTAAGCCATAAATTACCCTCTGTTATCTGGTAATAGATTCAGAAAACAAGATCCTTAGCACAGCTTATAGGGACAGCATGTGATATGCATGCTTAAGTACATATATAGTTATTAAGAAATCCCAGCTATTTCGCTGGGTTTACAAATTATTAAATATGAATAAAAAGTTAAAAAGAACGATTTACTTAAAGCATATTATGGAAACTAGAATGAGATGACATCCATTATGCAACAACGTCACAATTTTCAACTCAGTAAATGAGAACCGCAACATTTTGGGCCCCATATAAATCTCTATCTAATTCTCCAGTTGGCATCATCTGTTCAGCTTATTACTTCAGTTTTCAATTAGAAACTCAAAGCAAAGAAAGTTGGGTGGTATCAATAAAGCAGCCCTATTATGTGTAATCAAAATATGCACTTATGAACTAGACAATAACTAATGCCAAAAAGGTAACGCGTAACCACAAAATAAATAATTATATATCGAGCCAGCAGCTTTAAAAAAAGCAGGAATAAGAAGAATGTGAGTAAAAACAAGAGAATTATACACTTTACCTGTTCTATGATTGCAAAGTAGTGTGAATTAGCCTGTAAAAAAAAAAGAGAATAAAATAAGCTGCAGGTGCACAAGCAAGAGAAATTCACAGATGAATGAAAGACAATTGCAAGGAAAATGATTCCTTGACGAGAAAACCAAATATGAAGAGCAAAATGCAAATAAAGTTCTAAAGATCCAAGGGTCCCAGTAAAATTGACATAACGTGTCCAAAAGATTATTATTTTAGTCTAGCTTTCCGAACGCGCGCCAGCACAAGAACCAAATATGATTACAGTTTTACATGTAAAACCAGCTAATCAACTGTTACCAGACAAATAAACCCATTTTTTCAAGAAGCTGGAAGCCTAGAACTCATTCATTATGGTAAATTTTACTAAGAAAAATGTCAAATCGCCACTGTGATCCGTTAAAAACATGGCTTTCTGTTCACCATTCCCAGATCCCAATGGGAAAAAATATGAAACACTTGAAGAGAAAAAATTATTACTTGCATACCATTGCAAAAGTGTCATTACGTTAACAGCACAGGCTTACCTCATCATTCATCACCCAACCACGTCCTACGATTTCTAGTTCTCCATTCTGTACTAAATTGATGAAGGATTCTTTCTTTGCAGCTGATGCATCCCTCCACCATCTCTCCAAATAAGACATTTCCTCCCATATAAACTTGCGGCTCCTATACACCAATACCCAGAACGATTAGCGGAAGAAATCACATTAAACATTATGAAATGGAACATAACAAAATGTCCCCAAAATTAACTTAGAAAAGAGAATCAGAATTCCATGGGCAATTTTTGATCAGTAACGAAACACTTGTAGTTGCAACATGAAGCACTAATGAGAACATCGAAGTGAAATTGATATTCAGGTCACTAGGTCAGTTTCCTTTATTCACCATATTTGCATCTGAGTCGTTGATTAAACATTTGTATTGTGAGGACGCAACCTGTGTAAATCCAACCTGGATCATTATGCGAATGTGGAGTCCTGGATTGCCAGCGATTTAAAAGGCCCCACGGTAGACTAAAAATGACATGAATAGAAGGGTGTAAAAAGACATTATGGTTCCAAGAGCACACTTGGTACATTTCATAGAGTAGGAACTGAAGATATTAATAGAGGACATCATAACGTTGAAAGATCATCTCAAGGGTTTATGTACCAAATCCTTTGTTGTTGGTGCTTTGATTCAAAACTTACTTGAATGCAAGCTCCTTTAAGCTTTCATTCCACCCTTCTAGGTGCTGATCCAAAAGAGCATGTGCCCTAAAACATACCTGGAACACATTTGGTGATCATAATATTAGTTCCAGCATCACAACCCCAACACTCCAACATGGTAGATGCTTACAGATCAGCCACATAGATTAGTAGTGGGAGGAAGTTCATAAAATATCTTGTTCATCTCACTCTTTTTTCCTTTTCCTGTTTGGAAAGGGAAGCGAGAAGATATCATAACTCTGCGTTTCCCTAGTAGCATGTGCAATGCGTGAGGAAAACAACTGAGCCGCATTCACAACTGAGCCGAGTTGCCTTTCACACTTTCTTTGTGGTCCCTAAATTGTCTGTTTTTATTGAAAGAACTGTGAGGAGAGGCTCACAATTTTTGTTTTATTTGTATGAAAAATCTCAACACGTATTCATTTTCAAGATGACCAAGTCGTATGTGGAGATAAATAATGCACAAGAGTAATACACAAGATGACATAGTCCATAATTAATACACACACCAGCCAGGGAGAATGTTACCCAGCCAGAAGATATCATAACTCTGTGTTTCCCTAGTAGTATGTGCAACGTGTGAGGAAAACAACTGAGCCGAGTTGCCTTTCACATTTCTTTTTGGTCCCTAAATTGTCTGTTACATTGACAGAATTGTGAGGGGAGTCACATCTTCGTTTTATTTGTATGAATAACTTAACATATGAGGCTATTATATATCTCGACACATTCCTTATAAATAACTTGATACCTATGAGGCTATTATATATCTCAACATACTCCATAATTCATACAAACTCCAGGGAGATTAACATACTTCATAAAGAACTCCATAACCAGTTCTTTTATTAAATAAATACAACTTATTCTCTTTCCCTGATCCCCCTTTCTTCTCCCTTCTCTTCCCCCCCTCGACTCCCTTTTCCCCCTTTTCTTCCTCCCCACGACTCCCCTATACTACTCCTGCCCCCCCCTACCCCCCCCCCCCCACGGGGGGTTTGGCGCCACGCGGCGCCACCGAGGCAGCATAACGCCCCCCGGGCGGCCCAGGACGGCATGGAGGCAGCATAACGCCCCCACCGCCCTAAGCCTAACCTAAGCCTAAGACTAAGACTAACCTAAGCCTAAGACTAAACTAACCTAAGCCTAGCCCTAACTACCTACCTAAGCCTAATGGCACCCAAAGAGGGAGCCGGGGCCGGCCCCAAAGGGTGGCCAGCCCAACCCAGCGGGACTTGGTCAGTCCCAAAGGGTGAGTATATCTGCAACTGTACCTTATTATTTATAGACCCAGTCAGGAGTCGCCCAGCCTTCCGTCGTCGGTGTGGGAACTGATTCTAATTAGTGAATGCTTACTTTCTCCATTTCTCTGGCCTGGCTTCCTTCACCAACAGCTCAGCTCAGCTCTTTCACCAAGCCCGACGCCGCTAACAAAATCCGCCGGATTTCCTATTGCGTTTGTCGATCGGAGGGAGGGACGTTCAGCTCCTCTTTCATGAACTCGTATCTGTCGATCGGAGGGAGGGCTGTTCATACTGAACTGAGGAGGCGGTACCCGCACCAGTAATGGGCTGTTCACATTTTTAATTTTTGTCTATTAAAACTCTAATAAATACTACCTATCATATAATTCCTTCATTTTTATAAATTTTCACTTGTGTCTAGCATCAGATGAGATGAAGTTTAAATATATCCATTTCTTTTGAAATATTTTAGAAATGTGATGGGGAATATTTAAATTTCGTCCGAGTTTTTGGTTTTATCGGATATTTTTTTAATCAAACACATAATTTCATTTCAGACGTTGGAATGAGTAATAATTTTTCTCGCTCTATTAATAAAATATAGTTAGAATATAATACTTCCATACTTCAACTAATTGATAATTCCATACTTCCATACTTCCATTTAGAATTTCATAAACTTTAACTAATTGAGCCAATTTCAGTGTTATCGAACTGGCCATGAAACTCATAGAGTTTGTTATTTTTGTATAGTATGACTTGTTTGAGTTTAGAACCTCTGGTTTCATGACATATTCATGTTTTAGATTTCAACCATTCTTGTGTTACACATAATTTGCACACATTTGACAAACTCTTCTATCTACACGGATAATTGTTGCATTTTTATAAACGAGTTGCCTGCCCACAGGTGATTAGTGGATGTACACATTTTGTGTATATTTTACACTCGTCCGCGTATACAGAGAATTGTTGTTTGTTTCTAATTAACGAGATGTCTGTATATACAGAAAAGTGTGCTTAAATTATGTGTACAAAAAGTAATTTTCTTGACATTTTGAGTACATCATTATTATTTTATTTTCTTATGCATATCATTATCCTCTATTATTTAGAGCGAAGCTGGTATGATTTGATTTGTTTTAAGTCTAGTCATGTCCAATCAATTTAAGTTAAGTCTACTCATATTTTATGTGATTTTTATCTGAAATATCCAAGTATGTGGGATATAACATAACCCACTTACAAAAAATGTGAAGTCATAAAAATATAAAGTGTTGTTTGCACTTTATCACCACAAATTAAAAGCTCAATCCAAATAGAATCACTTCTTTCATGAGGTGGCAACATGCAAAAAATTTGGATGTTACAAGAAATACTAACTCTTTCCGAAAATTATCACTGAATCGTACTGATGGAGATTCTTATGTTCAGGAAAGAAAAAGTTTTATGCAATTGAAACCAAAAATGAATTTAGGAGGCTAATTTAGAAGTTTTACATGGGTTGATGTTTGAGATTATATTATTGAATTATTTTAAAGATAACATAACACGATGATTAAGATAGAGTTTTTAGGTTGTTAGGTTCGTCTATGTTGTTAGGTTTGTCAATTTGTTTGGGATTTCAGCCTTTTTTATGTCTATGTTTGGATTCATGGGGACAGGGATGGCTGTGTCAAACCCGCTACATGGTTAGCGATTCGCGTTGCTCTTTCAGGGGTGACCGTCTCTAAGTCTGATCATTGAATTTACAGTCGTAGTTTTTGGAATTTAGTTGGTGCCGGTTTGTTTTTCCTTTGACTGATGTAATGATCCGGAAATTTATGATATGAAAGAAGGCTAGTTGACGATAAAAAACTATTGCAATAAATCAGCGCACAAGGCGAACTTGTCGTGAGTAAATCAAAGGCAATGTATGTTGTCACAACTTGCTTTTTAAAATTTCCATTTTCCTTCTTTTTATTATCCAACAACATTGACAAAAATGACAAAATATGTATGAATAATTATGATAATTCTAATGTAAAATTCAATTGTACATAAATACAATTACTAAAAATTATAATAAACCACTCTATATAATATGTCATGATTTTATCCACCATCCTTATTTGAATAATATATATACCATTATTTGATACTCTCTATCTATCTTTCATAATATAATAACAAAATGATTCTTCCTCAGCAGGTTGACACCAAAACCAATTGGGTCATTTCTTTCCCTAGGATAAAATAAAACCTCTTGGGATAGATTGCTCAGCAAGTTCTCGATAAAACTCTTCTAACATGGACTGATGGACATTAAATTAAATGCAGTGCGTAGCCCGGTGTTTCCAGCTTTTCACATTTCAATGCATTTTCCAACCTTTTTGTATTCCAACGCCAATAAATAAACATATATTCAAAGTTACGTTCTGATTTTTCAACTTTTAACAAATTAATTAATTAAACACAACTTATTTTTACTGATTTTTTCCAGTTCCAATTCGCACAAGTTTTATGGGAGCTGTCTACATAAAACTTATCTGACATGAATATAAAAAGGTTACGGAGTCTGCCGTTTGCAATTTCATG